TGGATGTGGCCATGGAGACCCGGATGTGGCCCTGAGGACCCGATGGGGCACTGGAGACCCGGGTGTGGCCCTGGAGACTCAGGTGTGGCCCTGGGGACGCGGATGTGGACCTGGGGATCCGGATGTGTCCCTAGAAACCCGGGTGGAGCCCTAGGAGACCCGGATGTGGCCCTAGAGACCCGGATGTGGCCCTGGGGTCCCGGATGTGGCCCTGTAGGGATCCCTAAAGACCCAGATGTGGCCCTGGAGACCCGGATGTGGCCCTGGAGACCCGGGTGGAGCCCTGGGATCGAGATGTGGCCCTGGAAACCTGGATGGAGCCCTGGGGATCCGGATGTGACACTAGACATCCGGATGTGGCCCTGGGGACCCGGATGTGGCCCTGGAGACCCGAGTGTGCCCCTGAGACCCCGATGTGGCCCTGGAGACCCGGGTGGGGCCCTGGAGGGAGCCTTGGTGACTCGGATGTGGCCCTAGAGACCCAGATGTGTTCCTGGAGACCCAGATGGAGCCCTAGAGACCTGGATGTGGCCCTGGAGATCCGGGTGTGGCCCTGGAGACATGGGTGAGGCCCTGGAGACCCCGATGTGGCCCTGGAGACCCCGATGTGGCCCTGGTTACATGGGTGGGGACCTGGAGGGAACCCTAGAGAACCGGCTGTGGTCCTGGAGACCCGGATGGTACCCTAGAGACCCGGATGCGGCCCTGGAGATCCGGATGTGGCCCTAGTCACCCAGATGTGACCCTGGGATCCCTGATGTGGCTCTACACAATCAGATATTGCCCTGGGGCCGGAAGTGGCCCTGGAGACCCGGGTGTGGCCCTGGAGAGCCGGATGGTGCCCTAGGGACATGGATGTGACTCTGGGGACCGAATGTGGCCCTTGAAATCCGGTTGTGGCCCTGGAGACCCGGATGTGGCCCTGGGATACCACAATGTGGCCCTGGGGACCTGGATGTGGCCCTGGATACCCCAATGTGGCCCTGGAGACCGGGGTGGGGCCCTGCATGGAGCTCTGGAGACCCATATGTGTCCCTAGAAACCCGGATGTGGACCTAGAGACCCAGATGTGGCCCTGGAGACCAGGACGTGGCTCTGCAGACCCGGATGTGGCCCATGAGACCCAGATGTCACCCTGGAGATCCGGATGTGGCCCTGGAGACCTGGATGTAGCCCTGGAGATCCGGATGTGGCGCTAGACACCCTGATGTGACCCTGGGAGACCTGGATGTGGCTCTGGACACTGGGATGTGGCCCTGGGTACCCGGATATGGCCCTGGGGACCCGGATGTGTCCCTGGAGACCTGGATGTGACCCTGAGGACCCAATGGGGCACTGGAGACCAGAGTGTGGACCTGGAGACCCTGGTGTGGCCCTGGAAACCTGGGTGGGGCCCTGGGGATGCGGATGTGGCCCTGGGGACCCAGGTGGAGCCCTGGAAGACCTAGATGTGGCCCTGGGGGACCTGGATGTGGGCCTGGGGGACCCAGGTGGAGCCCTGGGAGACCCAGATGTGGCCCTGGGGACCCGGGATGTGGCCCTGGGGACCCGGATGTGGCCCTGGAGACCTGGATGTGGCCCTGGAGACCTGGATGTGGCCCTGGAGACCCGATGGGGCACTGGAGACCCAGGTGTGGACCTGGGGAACCGAGTGGAGCCCTGGGAGACCTGGATGTGGCCCTGGGGACCCGGATGTGTCCGTGGAGAACCGGGTGGAGCCTTGGGGCACAGAAGTGGCCCTGGCGGGAGCCCTGAAGACCTGGATGTGGCCCTGGAGACCCGGATGTGGCCCTGGAGACCCCAATGTAGCCCTTGAGATCCGGATGTGGCCCAGGAGACCCGGATGTGGCCCTGGAGACCTGGGTGGAGCCCTGGGACCAAGATGTGGCCCTTGAGTGAGCCCTGGAGACCCGGATGTGGCCCTGGGGGATCGAGATGTGTCCCTGGAGAGCCGGTTGCGGCCCTGGAGACCCGGATGTGGCCCTAGGGACCTGGATGTGGCCCTGGGACCCGGGTGTGGACCTGGGAACCCGGATGTGGCCCTGGGAGAACCGGATGTGGCCCTGGAGACCTTATGTGGACCTGGATGGAGCCCTGGGAGACCCGGATGTGGACTTGGGAACCCGGATGTGGACCTGGGGGACCCGGATGGAGCCCTGGGAGACCCGGATGTAGCGATGGAGACCCGGATGTGGCTCTGGAGACCCGGGTGTGGACCTGGAGGCACGGAAGTGGCCCTAGGGACCTGGATGTGGCCCTAGAGACCCGGGTGTGGCCCTAGAGAGCCCCATGTGACTCTGGGGACCCGGATGTGGCCCTGGGATCCCGTATTGGGCCCTGGAGACCCAGAGTGACCCTGGAGACCCGGATGGTGCCCTGGAGACCCGGATGTGGCCATGGAGAGAACCCTAGAGACCTGGATGTGGCCCTGAGCATCCGGATGTGGCCCTGGAGACCCGGATGTGGCCCTGGAACCCGGGTGAAGCCCAGAGACTCCGATGGAGTCCAGAGACTTGGATGGAGCCCAGAGACCCGGATGGAGCCCAGAGACCCGGATGGAGCCCAGAGACTTGGATGGAGCCCAGAGATCCGGATGGAGCCTAGAGACTTGGATGGAGCCCAGAGAGTGAGATAGAGCCTTAGGGGCTCAAATGGAGCCCAGAGACCCGGATGGAGCCTTAGGAATCCGGATGGAACCCAGAGACTTGGATGGAGCCCAGAGAGTGAGATAGAGCATTAGGGGCTCGGATGGAGCCCAGAGACCGGATGGAGTCTTAGGAACCCGGATGGAGCCCAGAGATATGGACGGAGCCCAGAGACTCTGATGGAACCCAGAGACTTGGATAAAGCCTTAGAGACCTGGATGGAGCCCTGGAGACCCGGATATGGCCCTAGGGACCTGGATGTGGCCCTGGGACCCGGGTGTGGACGTGGGGACCCGAATGTGGCCCTGGGAGAACCAGATGTGGCCCTGGGGACCTGATGTGGACCTGGATGGAGCCCTGGGAGACCCCAATGTGGACTTGGGAACCCGGATATGGACCTGGGGGACCCGGATGGAGCCCTGGGAGACCCAGATGTGGCCCTAGAGACCCGGGTGTGGCCCTGCAGATCGGGGTGGAGCCCAGAGACTGGGATGGAGCCCAGAGACTCGGATGGAGCCCAGAGACTGGATGCAGCCTTAGGGACACGGTTGGAGCCCCGAAACCCGGATGGAGCCCAGAGACCCGGATGTGGTCCAGAGACCTGGATGGAGCCCAGAGACTCGGATGGAGCCTTAAGGACTCGGAAGGAACCTTAAGGACCCGGATGTAGCCTTAGTGACCCTGAAGGAGCACAGAGACCCGGATGGAGCCTTAGGGACCAGGATGTTTCCTTAGGGATCCAGATGGAGCCCAGAGATACAGATGGAGACCAGAGACCCCGATGGAGCCCAGAGACCTGTATGGAGCCCAGAGACTTGGATGGAGCCAGGAGTCCCGGATGGAGCCCAGAGATCCGGATGGAGCCCTAGGGACCCAGATGGAGCCCAGAGACCTGCATGGAGCACTTAGACCCGGATGTGGCCCTGGGGACCAGGATGTGTCCCTGGGGACCTGGATGTGTCACTGCTGACATGAGTGGAGCCCTGGGGAGCCGGATATTGCCCTGGAGACCCGGATGTGGCCATGGGGACCCGGATGTGGCCCTGGGATCCTGGTGGAGTGTGACTGGCTGCCAGTGGAGTCGGGGAGAACCCCCCCAGTGTCACTCAGGGCTGATTGACAGCCACCAGATGACAGAGCCCACCCCCTTGTCAGTGAACGGTGACTGACAGTGCAGGAAGACCCGGAGGTAGCCCCTGGGTTCCTCCACCAGCTCACTCTGTCTTTTGACGTAACAATAAAAATCGTTTAAAATAAACGACTGGGACTGTGCCTGGATGAGTTTATTCCATGAACAGGAAGCAGAGAAAGCCGGGGACAGCCGATTCTAGAATGTTCTGGAGCTTTCTAGAAATTCTGGAACAATCCAGACCATCTTGGATCAATCCAGAACGTTCTAGAATGTTCCAGAGCATGCTAGCGCATTCGCAGGTGGGAGGAGATGGTGAGGCGATCAGGGGCGGTTCTGGATGGTCTAGAACGTTCTGGCACCTTCTCCAAGGGAGGCGTCCTCAGGGTGGACAGGTGTCTGTTGGAGAGGGAGGAAAGCCGAGTCAGCGCCGAGTCAGCGCCGAGTCAGCCCGGAAGCCGCCGAAGCCTCACCTGTGTCGGCCACACGCCGGATGTACTTCCGCGGGATCCCATTCTGCTCCGTGAGCCTCGCGTAGTCCTCCGGCGGGTCGTCGTTTATGATTCTCAATTCGACTGTGGCAAGAGTGGGCGCCGACTGAGTACGCTCGCTTTAGTGTGAGCCTACTGCATACACTCGCTTTAGTGGCTGTATCCACTCACCCCATCTAGCGAGCGCCAACTGTATATGCTAGCGTTAGTGGGCACCGACTGTATATGCCCACCATGTCTAGTGGGCACTGACTGTATACACTCGCTTTATCCAGTGGGCACCGACTGTATATGCCTGGCCATGCAGCCCCCCTTTCCCATATACAGTCGGGCTCAGACTCTCGGGTCGTGGAGCGTATCCCTAGCGGGCACCGGCAGTGTACATGTGTGTGTGAGGGGGGCTCACCCACAAGGAAGCTGAGGCGGCTGGTCTTGCCTTGGACCCCATGTTATTGATGAAGACGATTGCCTAACGGGATCCAATTCGTGGAACTGGAAGGAGGTCTGGCCCTCGACTGTAGGGAGAGAGGTGGGTGTTCTGGATGTGCCGGGGCATGCTGGGACATTCTAGCGCATTCTGGAACATTCTAGAACATTGAGGAACTGGAGCATTCTGGGACATTTGCAGCATCCTGGAACATTTCTGGGAACATTCTCGAACATTCTGGAACACACCGGACATTCCCTGGGGTCATCTGGAATTGTCTGGAACTTTCCGAAATGCTCTGTACTCACAGTCAGTGGTGTAGATGCCGTCTGCGTTCTTCTGGGCCACAACCCTGTGCGGGGTGCATACCTTGTTCTTCCTGAAGGAGAGACCGGGAACATGGCCGCTCGCTGTGGGCTCAACTGCTCCTGTCTGCTCTCCCTCTGGGCTCGCCTGGTCCACCATGGCCTGCTCTTTGACTCTGGGATCGGCTGGTCCTGTCTGCTCACTCTCAGCTCCATTACTCCCCTCTAGCCCACCTGCTCTCTGACTCTGGGCTCAACTGCTCCTGTCTGTCTACTCTTTCTCTCTCTGGGCTCGCTGGTCCACCATGGCCTGCTCTTTGACTCTGGGATCGGCTGGTCCTGTCTGCTCACTCTCAGCTCCATTACTCCCCTCTAGCCCACATGCTCTCTGACTCTGGCTCAACTACTCCTGTCTGCTCACTCTCCCTGGGCTCGGCTGGTCCCCCTAGCTTGCTCTTTGACTCTGGGCTCAACTACTCCTGTCTGATCTCTCTCTCTCTGGGCTCGGCTGGTCGCCCTGGCCTGCTCTCTCTCTCTCTCTCTCTCTCTCTCTCTCTCTCTCTCTCTCTCTCTGGGATCGATTGGGCTTGGCGGCGCCTGTCTTCCCCGCTCTCTGGGCTCGATTGCTCCCCCCTGGCTCTCTGTCTCTGGCCTCGGCTTGTCTCCCCTGGCCCCGCCCCTCACTTGACGTAGAAGAAGACGTTCAGGGCGTTGCATTCCTCGTTGCACTCCATCTCGCGGAACAGCATCGGGAGTGGCCCATCCTTCAGGATCATTTCCAGGTTGTCGGAGGCCATGGCGGAGGTGCGCCAGGGCCCGGAGAGCTGGGGAGGTGAAGAAATGACGCGAATTAATGATACGGCTGAAGAAACGACGCGAAGTAGTGATGCGAATTAGTGATGCGAAGTAATGATGTGAAGAAATGATATGAATTCATAACGAGAATTAATACTGGGAACTAATGATGCAAATTAATGATACCTGGGCGGGGTCGACGTCCGCACAGGCCACGCCCACCGTGAGGGCGAGGAGGAGAGCCTTCGTCACCGTCATCTTCATCACCATCGTCTTCGTCGTCGTCTGAGCCGGCGGGGACCCGGCGTCTATTTATTGCCAGGGCTGGGGGAGGAGTTGGCGGGGCCGAAGGTTGTGCAAACATCCTGATGGACACCAGGGACGTTCCGGAACGGTCAGTGCTCCCAGGGAATTCTGGGAGAGTCTGTCGTGCGTTCTTGGGCCTTGGAATTTTCCAGAACCCCTGGTGGGTGTTTCCAGGATTCCAGAATGTTCTAGAATGCCCAGGAAATGTCCTTGGAATCGCGAGGAATTCTGTGGAATGTTCCGGAACGTTCTAGAACACGTCCAGAGAGCCCGGTGCACGTCCTCGGGGCCTTAGAGTATTCTAGAGCGCCTGGTCTTGGAGTGTTCAGGAATACTGGCGGATGACGTAGAATTTTCTAGAATGTTCGTAGGAAGCCCTGGACCGCTTGGTGAGTGTCTTTGGGGTCTTGGAATGTTGTAGAATGTTCCAGTATGTTCCAGAGAACCCAGCGAGCGTCCTGGGGGGTCTGAGACCCTCTGCCGACGTGCTGGAAGTTTCCGCAGCCCCGGTGGGCGCGGGATGTCACGTCAATGTCCGCAGGGCCAGGCCGGCACCAGGACGCCCGTCACACCCAGCCGGGAAACTTCTACTCAGACCCGTATCCCAGAATCCCCCCAGACTCACTTGGTGATGTTCTGGTACATTCTAGAACACCTGGGAAAAATTCTCCAAAAAAATTCTCTTACCTCGTGAAAGGTATGGGCGGCTTCCACATGACAGCGGTAGCATGCAGGTGTCCATGAGAAAAGACCAGACTGTGTCCGAGGAGGAGAAGGAGGAGGAGGAGCTGGAGTCTGAGTCGGATGTGGAGGTGGAATGCGACCTGAGCAACATGGAGATCACCGAGGAGCTGCGCCGGTACTTCGCGACGACGGAGAAGCACCGAGAAGAGCGACGTGAGTGCGCGCCTCTGTCTCCTCATCCCTCCCTTCTGCCCCGACATTTGCACTCTTTCTTCCCCGATATGTAAAGCTGTTTTATAGCTCCTCGTTTGGGGCACAGGTAATATTCCAAATCTGGCCCTAAGGCTGGGAACGGTGATGTAACGTTTCCGTTGTGTTAGCTTCTAGACTTGTTTGAGTTCAAGGGACCTTCAAAAAAATTTATGGAAAAAGGATTGTGAAAAAACTACACATGGACTTCAATCTTTTTTTGCACCAAAATTCCATTTTCTATGAATTTTTTTTTGACAGGCAGAGTGGACAGTGAGAGAGAGAGACAGAGAGAAAGGTCTTCCTTTGCCGTTGGTTTACCTTCCAAGATGGCCGCCGTGGCGGGAGCTGTGCCAATCCGATGGCGGGAGCCAGGTGCTTCTCCTGGTCTCCCATAGGGTGCAGGGGCCAAGCACTTGGGCCATCCTCCACTGCTCTCCCTGGCCACAGCAGAGAGCTGGCCTGGAAGAGGGGCAACCGGGACAGAATCCGGCGCCACGACCGGGACTAGAACCCGGCGTGCCGGCGCCGCAAGGCAGAGGATTAGCCTAGTGAGCTGCGGCACCGGCCTCAATGAATTTTTAAAAGCATGTTTGGCTTCATCTACTTGAAAGGCAGAGCAACAGCAGAGTGGGGGGGAATCTGCTCTCTGCTGGTTACTGGTCCACCCCCCAAATGCACACAATATACAGGGCTGGGCCAGGCCAAAGCCGGAGTGCCCAGGGGACACCCACATTCTGTTTCAGGATGCCAGTTCTAGTCCCGCCTCCACGTCCATTCCAGCTTCTGCTAACACTCCTGGGAAGGCAGCAGGTGGTGGCCCAAGTCCTTGGGTCCCTGCCACCCACGTGGAAGACCCCAATGGAGTTCCACTCTCCTGGCTTCAGCCTAGCCCAGCCCTGGCTGTTGTGGACATAAGATTGATTGATTGATTTGAGAGGCAGAGTTACGGGGGGGGGGTTCTGTCGCTCCCCCTCTTCGTGGAGGAACGACACAGGACCCTGCGCTGTTCTTTCGTCTGCTCGGCCCTCCCCGGGTTTGCTGCTGGTTCTTCCCGGGTTGGCTACTGTCCCTTCCACCTCCGTGGAAGGGCAGTTCCCCCTGCCACATTCCCCACTTCCGCAGGGGGGTGGCACACCGCCGGCCGGCTCTCTGGGGGCTGCACAGGTGTTCCCCTTAGATGTTCCCCTTAGATGTTCCTCTTAGATGTTCCTGGTGCATGCCGTCTCTCTCCTCCTTTATAGTCCTCCTCCGCCAATCCTAACTCGTCTGCCCACACGCCGAGTACGCTGCTCTCCTCCAATCAGGAGCAAGTCCTACAGTTTATTGGCTGAACTGGAGGCAGCTGTGTAGAAGCTGTTTTCTTCTCTCCCAGCGCCATATTGTGGGAGAGCAGATGCATAGAATAAGTCTTAATTCCAGTAACAGTCTAGTCCGAGTTGCTCCCCACAGGTTCCATCCATCCACTGGTTCACTCCCCAGATGGTCACAACCACCAGAGCTGGACTGATCCAAAGCCAGGTGCCAGGAGCTTCTTCTGAGTCTCCCACGCGGGTGCAGGGTCCCAAGGACTTGGGCCATCTTCCACTGCTTTCCCAGGCCACAGCAGAGAGCTGGATCAGAAGTGGAGCAGCTGGGACTCGAACCCGCGCCCATACGGGATGCCGGCGCCACAGGCAGAGGCTTAACGTGCTAACACCACAGCCCCAGGCCTATGTCACAGCTTTTGAAAAAGAAAAATGTTGGGCTTATTCCTGCTGTCCTTATCTACAGGTAGGATGACATGTTTTTCCTGCCAGAGATTGGTACTTTTTTAGTGGAAACTATAAGTAAGCATGAAAGCAAACCACAGTCATCTTAAAGGCCATTTGGAATTTTCTGCTTATTTAAAATAAACCGGGATAATTGTCAATTTTAAAAAAAGTGGTGTGAATGAAATGAAAATAAAATCATGAAATGTGTCCTACAGCCAAAGAACAAAATGCAGGAGGTAAGTTACGGATATGGTTAACAACCAGCCCTCTTCTTCTGTTTTGCCTTTATCAGGTAGGATTCTAAAGATGTAGGTAATAGGCCGGCGCCGCAGCTCACAAGGCTAATCCTCCGCCTAGCGGCGCCGGCACACCGGGTTCTAGTCCCGGTCGGGGCGCCGGATTCTGTCCCGGTTGCCCCTCTTCCAGGCCAGCTCTCTGCTGTGGCCCGGGAGTGCAGTGGAGGATGGCCCAAGTGCCTGGGCCCTGCACCCCATGGGAGACCAGGAAAAGCACCTGGCTCCTGCCATCGCATCAGCGCGGTGCGCCGGCCGCAGCGGCCATTGGAGGGTGAACCAACGGCAAGGAAGACCTTTCTCTCTGTCTCTCTCTCTCACTGTCCACTCTGCCTGTCAAAAAATAAAATAAAAAAATAAATAAAATGAAGTAAAAGTAAGAAAAGAGAGAAGTGAGCTGGGTTCAAGACCATGTCCGCCCCGAGTCGCAGAAACAGGACGCACACACCAACCCAGCCTGTGATTGGCCCCCGGGTCTGAGACAGGGGGAAGCCATTGGCTGCCTGACGTGTCACCCTGGCGAGTCCAGCCCAGACGGAGGGCGAGGTCGGCGGCGAGGCTTCCGGGAGTTGTAGTCTCCCCGCTCCGCCCTGTCCAAGCCTACTGTGGCTGGACGGTGTGAAACCAGGACATATGGCCCACAGATGATAGAAGCAAAATGATAATTTCGGTCAGGAAAATTAGATCAAGGAGCGTTTTTAAAAAAAAAAAAAGAGAGGAGAGATATGTGTGGAATCGCGGTTCAACACCACTTCCGCCCCGAGCCGCTGAAACAGGAAGCACACGCCCGCCCAGCTTCTGATTGGTCCCCGCGTCTGAGACGGGGGGAGCCATTGGCTGTGAACTCGTCATTCTGCGCCCAGAACCCCACCCCCTGAGGCTCCACTGCCTGCTCTCGACTGCACGGGGAACCTGTCAGTCTCCCGCCAGAAACCCACCCCCTTAGCTCCCCTGCCTGCCCCTGATGGGACGGGGAACCTCTCAGTCTGCAGCCAGAAACCCACTCCCTTAGGATCCACTGAATGCCCCTGACTGAATGAGGAACCTGTTAGCTAGCATCTAGAACCCCCACTCGCCAGCTCCCCACATGCCCCTGACGGTACTTGGAACTGTCAGGCTGCGGCAGGAAACCAGGGTCCTTAGTTGCCCTGCCTGTCCATACTGGGCCGTCCATACTGTCAGTCTGCAGCCAGAACCCCCACCCTCTTAGGCTCCACTGAGTGCCCCTGACAGGACCGGACACCTGTCAGTCAGCACATAGAACCCCACCTTGTTAGTTCCCCAGCATGCCCCTGAGAGGACTGTGAACTCGTCAGTCTGTGGCCAGAACCCCACATCCTCAGCTCCCCTGCCCGCCCCTGACTGGCACAGGAACCTGTCAGTCTGCCGCCAGAACTGCACCTGCTTAGCTCCCCTGCCTGCCCCTGATGAGAATGGGAACCTGTTGGTCTGCAGCCAGAAACCCACCTCTTGGTTCCCTGCCTGCCCCTGACTGGACAGGGAAACTGTCGGTCTGCGGCCCAAACCCCACACCATTAGCTCCCTCGCCTGCCCATGACAGGACCAGGAACCTGTCAGACTGTGACCAGAACCACACCTCCTTAGACCCCTGCCTGTCCCTGATGGGAAGGGAACCTCTCAGTCTGCAGCAGCCAGAAACCACTCCCTTAGGATCCACTGAGTGCCCCTGACTGGATCAGGAACTGTCGCAGAGTGACAGGTTCTGGGTCAGTCAGGGGCAGGCAGGAGAGCTAAGGACTTGGGGTTCCTGCCGCAGACTGACAGGTTCCCGGTCCTGTCAGGGGCAGGCAGGGGAGCCAAAGACGGCGTTTCTGGCCCTAGACTGGCAAGCTACCAGTCCCATCAGCGGCAGGCAGGGGAGCCAAGGAGGTGGGGTTCTGGCCCCAGACGGACAGGTTCCCAGTTCCATCAAGGGCCAGCAGGGGATCCAAGAGGTGGGGTTGTAGTCCTAGACTGTCAGGTTCTCAGGCCAGAAAGAGGCAGTCAGGGGAGCCAAGGAGGTGGGGTTCTGGCCGCAGAATGACAGGCTCTGGTCCAGTCAGGGGCAGGCAGGGTAGTGTAAGAGGATGGTGTTCCCGCCACAGACATACAAGTTCCCTGTCTAGTCAGGGACAAACCAGGGAGCTAAGCATGTGGGGTTCTGGCCGCACATGGACAGGTTCCCGGTCCATATGGCCAGGCAGGGAAGCTAAGGCGTTCTGGCTAAGGTTCTGGCAGCAGCATGACAGGTTCCTGGTCCCATCGCGGGCAGTCAGGGGAGCCAAGGAGGTTGGTTCTGGCCACAGACTGACAGGTTCAGGTCTATCAGGGGCAGGCAGGGGAGCTGAGGACATGGGGATCTGGCCACAGGCTGACAGGTTCCCGTTGCTGTCAGGGGCTGTCAGGGGAGCCTAATGAGGTGGGGTTCTGGCTACAGAGTGACAGGTTCCTGGCCCCCTCAGGGAAAGTCAGGGCAGCCACGCAGGTTAGGCTCTGGTCGAGACTGACAGGTTCCGAGTCCCGTCACAGGTAGGCAGGGGAGCCTAAGGAGGTGGGGTTCTGGCCACAGGTGACAGTTGCGGGTCCATCAAGGGTAGGTAGGGGTGCTGATGGGGTGGGGTTCTGGCTGCAGACTCACCAGTTCCTGGTCCAGTCAGGGACGGGCAGCGTAGCCTACGGAGGTGGGGTTCTGGCCACAGAATGACGACAGGTCTCTGGTCCCATCAGGAGTAGGCAGGGAGCTAAGGACATGGGGTTCCTTCCGCAGACTGACTGACAGATTCCAGGTCCAGTCAGGGGCAGGCAGGGGAGCTAAGGGGTGGAGTTCTGGCCACAGACTGACAGGTTCCTGGTCCAGTCAGGGACAGTCAGAGGAGCCAAGGAGGTGGGGTTCTGGCCACAGACTGACAGGTTCCTGGTCTAGTCAGGGGCAGGCCTGGGAGCTAAGGGGTGGAGTTCTGTCCGCAGACTGAAAGGATCCCAGTCCCATCAGGGGGACTCACTGGAGCCTCAAGGTTGGGGTTCTGGCTGCAGACTGACGGGTTCCCGGTCCCATCAGTGGCAGTCAGGGGAGCCAAGGAGGGTGGTTCTGGCCTCAGAGTGACACGTTTCGGTCCAGTGACGCCAGGAAGGGGAGTTAGCTACGTGTGGTTCTGGCCACAGACTGACAGATTCCTGGTCCAGTATGGTCAGGCAAGGGAGCTAAGGGGGTGGAGTTTTGGCCGCAGACTGACTGGTGCCCGGTCCTGTCAGGAGCACTCAGCAGAGACTAGAGGGTGGGGTTCTGGCTGCAGACTGACAGGTTCCTGCTCCAGTTAGGGGCAAGTCAGGGGAGCAAAGAAGTTAGGGTTCTAGTGGCAGACTGACACATTCCGGGTCCATCTGGGGCGGGAAATGAGCCCAGGAGCTGGGCTTCTAGCCGCAGACTTACAGGTACTGGGTCCAACAGAAGCAGGCAGTGGAGCTAAGGACATGGGGTTCTGGCCGCAACTGACAGGTTCCCAGTCCCGTCAAGGGCAGGCAGGGGAGCCAAAGTGGGTGGGGTTCTGGCCACAGACTCACGGGTTCCATTTCCAACAGGGGTAGGCAGTGGAGCTCAGGATGTGGGGTTTGGCTGCACACTGACAGGTTCCTGGTCCAGTCAGGGGCAATAAGGGGAGCTAAGGACATGAAGTCTGCATGCAGACTGACAGGCTCCTGGTCCCATCAGGGGCAGCCAAAGGAGCTAAGGATGTGGGGTTCTGGCGGCAGACTTTCAGGTTCCATGTCCGTGTGGAGTAGGACAGGGAGGCAGGGTGGTGGGGTTCTTTCTGCAGACTCCAGGTTCCAGGTCTATCAAAGGCAGGCGGGCAGCTAAGGACGTGGGGTTCTGGCCACAGACTGACAGGTTCCCGGTCCTGTCAAGAGCACTCAGTGGAGCCAATCTGGGTGGGGCTTTGGCTGCAGACTGACAGGTTCCGGGTCCAGTCAGGGGCAGGCAGGGGAGCCTAAGGAGGTCTGGTTCTGGCCACAGACTGACAGGTTCCCAGTTCTGTTCCGGGCAGGCAGGGGAGCTAAGGACGTGGGATTCCTGCCGCAGACTGACAGGTTCCAGGTCGAGTCAGGGGCAGACAGGTGAGCCTCTGGTCGCAGACTGACATGACCCGGTGCTGTTAGGGGCAGGCAGGGGAGCCTAAGGAGTTTGGGTTCTGGAGTCAGACGGACAGGTCCCGGTGCAGGATGTCCAGGAAGGGGAGCAGATGGAGTGGGGTTCTGCTCAGAGACTGAGAGGTTCCTGGTCCCATCAGGGAAAGGCAGGGGAGCTAAGGAGGCGGGGTTCTGGACGCAGACTGACAGGGTTTCAGTTCTGTCAGTGGCAGTCAGGGAAGCCATGGAGGTGGGGTTCTGGTCGCAGACTGACAGGTTCCCGGTCCAGAACGGCCAGGCAGGGGAGCTAAGGGGTGGGGTTTTGGCGGCAGACTGACAGGTTCCCGGTCCCATCAGGGGCAGGAAGGGGAGCCAAGGAGGTGGGGTCTGGCCAGAGGCTGAGAGGTTCTGGGTCCATTAGGGGGAAGTCAATGGAACCAAGGATGTGGGGTTCTGGCCGCAGAGTGACGGATTCCACCTCCATCAGGGGCAGGCAGAGGAGCTAAAGCGGTTGGTTTCCGGTCACACACTGACAGGTTCCCATCCTGTCAGGGGCAGTCAGCGGAGCCAATGACGTGGGTTCTGTCGGCAGGCCGACAGGTTCCCGGTCCCGTCAGGGCCACTCAGTGGAGACTAAGGGGGTGGGCTCTGGCTGCTGACCGACAGGTTCCTGGTTCCCTCAGGGGCAGGCAGGTGAGCCAAGGACGTGAGATTCCTGCCGCAGATGGAAAGGTTCCCAGGTTTGGCCACAGACGGAAAGGATCCTGGTCCAAAATGTCCAGGCATGAGAGCTAAGGGGGAGTGTCTGGTCGCAGGCTGACAGGTTCCCTGTGCACTACGGCAAGGGGTAAGGTGAAAAGGTCGTTAAGGTGAAGAGGTCATGTCAAGATAGCCACTGAGGGAAAAAGGTCATGCCAAGATGGCCGCTGACCACAGAAATTGCCTGGCACCAGGCCGTGATTGGATGGCTTCTGAAACCACATGACAACAGAGGAAACCACATGACAACAGAGCCTGACTGACAGCCGGCCGTGATTGGATGCTTTCAGAAACCACATGACAACAGAGCCTGACTGATGGCAGGCCGTGACTGGATGGTTTCAGAACCTGCCTGGCACCAAGAGCCTGCCTGGCCACAGGCTGTGATTGGATGGCTTTGGAAACCGCCTGGCCACAGGCTGTGATTGGTCAGGGCCTAGACCGCCCCTTGACTGGATGGGCTGTCTTGGCCATAGAAGCAGCTGTAGCAACTGAAATAAACGAGTCTGCTGGCTGCCCGCCTCAGGACTGCTCTCACCCGCCTCCCGGCGTCCGTGCGGTGACTCCGCACCTCTTGCCCCCACCACGCTCCTCCTCTCAGAACGCATCCTCTCAGGAAGAAATAAACGTCCACAGTTTCTTGGCTCACCCGAGTGCCCCTGACTCGACGAACGGGAACCTGTCAGTCTGTGGCCAGAACCCCACCTCTTATCTGCTCTGCCTGCCCCTGCTGGACGAGGAATCTTTCTTTCTGCAGCCTGGACCCCACTGTCTCCTCTG